ATTTTAATTCTGTGTGTATATTTCTACCAAAATCTTTGATTTGTACATGTATACCTTTATTCAAATTCTAAAGATTTTTAAGTTTTCTAAAAAAAGCTCGGGCTAATTGTGAATCCCCAATTGACACAATGTTAAACATCCTTTAAACGTTTATTTACTCTTGAAGGGGTAACAATTTTAATGTGAAATCACAATCCATAACATCAAATAATTAGATTCCAATGGTGTCTTAAGTTGATCCAAATGGAATTATTTTTTATATCTAGAAATTGAGTGACTCTTGCTATGGGGTGCCATGTATTCTAGCCCTATCAACACCCATGATACCATCTTTTTTTCCATTCATATGGAAAATGGTCAATTATGATGATTCCTTTTTTCCAAATTTTAGATATAATCTTTTTATTCTCCCTACCCCAAATTTTTGATACGTAGAAGAAAAACAGCTTAACAAATCGACTGAAATCTTTTAACAAACCTTTCTAATATTACATTTTACTAATCTCCAATATGAATAAAATCCCAATCACACAATTTGTGGTTGACAGACATATCAAATAAATGTTGTAAAGAATTTACCAAACCCCTATAGATATTATATGTATCATGCATGATAGTAACGTTACAAAGTAGTATGTCAGTGTTACGTTAAACACCAGTGTGAATGTTAAAGACAAAAACAAGTTTAACTTGAAATTGCTGACTATTCAATGTCACGTTACATTGATTTGAATGGGATTTCACAATACCTGCTATATTTGAAAGTCTCTAACTTCAGTTCTAGATAAGCATTTTCAATGTTATGAATTTTATCTGAAAGATAATAAAAGCATTTTTGGCACCTACAATTTATTGTGAAAGGAAATTGGTAAATTATCACAAAGTGTCCAAAATATACACATTGACGTTAACGTTGACCTATTTTGACATGTTTAAAAAAATATCTGAAGAGGTAATTGACTAAGGTGTACAACAATACCAACAATAATAAAATCAGACAAGTAATAACAATCGCAGAGGGGGGGGGGGGTCTGTCCAAATGACCCCCTCTTGTCACTAAGTGTTACAGGAAAGTTTCCACAAATTAGGGTCAAAAGAGGTTAACCATGTCTCAAACATTGAAATTACAGGTGTGGAAAGGGCTGAATTCCTGAAGAACATTTCAGAGAAAACATGTTGGTGGGGTATTTGCACATTCTCTGTCTCAAAGTCTAAAATGTTTATCATCTTTACAAGCACTTGCCCTGGAGTAAATGCATTGGCCTAACATATGCATTATGCACTTCTTCAAATCCTCAGAAAATGGCTAAAATCAAACATATGACTGTCTGAAATATGTCGCGATACCACATTTTGATAACAATGAAAAAGCTTGTATGCAATTACAAATAACGGCTGTCGACTGCCGTTATAACCTACTTTTTGCTCATTTAAATATAAATGGAATATAGTCGCAAGTATTATTCATATTTAGATATACATAAAATAGTAGGATAACCCAGTAGTCGACAGCTGAAAGTTGCATTCAAGAATACAAGGTAATGCTATACCATAAGCCAGGGTGGTTTTTAGGACATGACATCTGCTTTAAAGAGAGGGTGTCGAAAATCAATAATTATTCCATAATAACATGTTTCCCCCTGGAAAATAACAGGGAATAAAATTGATATTCAAAAATCCCGTGTCAGAACTATTCCAAGTAATTTCTAATTTCTTAAAATCTTATATGATAAATTGTATCATTTTATGTCACAATCATTGGGTGATGACATACAAAAATTAAAAAATAAATAAGCTTTAGAAAACTATTATAGAATAAACAGGTTATTGATGGGCGTGATGGAATATGATTTTTTCCTAAAGAAAATATGATTTTGGCCTCGGAATAAAATTCTTATTTCATCCCTCCCATTAAATAACCTCTTTATATAGCAACTCAATTCTACAAAAATCATCAGCTGAATTCAAGATGTCATCATGTGCCGTAGTTGTAATGTTGAACATCATTGTAGAAGTATGTTTATAGTTCTATTTTGATTTAGCCTTTTTATTATACAAAGTATGCAAAATTAAGATTAGACTTGTTTGGTAGGATTTGCTACTTCTTGCAATTTTCTGTTTTTCCGAATTGAGGTTATGAGAAATAAGTAAGAGCCAATCACGACTAACAAATTCAGACATGACTAATGAAATAAATACCTTCTGATAAGACATCTTTAGGGATAATGGCCAGTGCCACATCTTCATCAGCAACCAATTGCTCTGCAGTGCCACATAGGTATTCATATGAGTTTATGAGAAATTTTAGATCATTTAATGAAGAGGTGAGAATAGAAAAATGCAGTGGTTCAACTTCTTCAACTTCCTCCAAAATGTCATAACAAGAAAATAATTGAAATAGAGAAACAAAACTATTTGAAACAATCTCTATGATATTTTGAAATTCATTCATATTGCATTGGTAACTGTAAGTAATCTGCACAGTGTGTATTCAATTGTACTGCTTCTAAAAGGTAAAGAATCCTATACTACCTATTGAATGAAAATAAACTCTTCCAATAGTGATAGGACCTTAGTGCACCCAGGACCTTAGGTTGGCATGCCAAAATGTAAAATCTCTATTGCGACATGAAACTGTACAGTGTGCACATTTGAGTCTTTGAAGTTTACACTTAAACAAGATATTACTGTTATCAGAAACTTCATGTTTCTCATTGAAGTTCAGCACCAGCATCAGTAGCATCGAAGTTGACAGAAACTTCCACGGGAGTTATGTAGTCAGTTCCGGCAATAAACTCCTTCTCCCTGTGTCTCAGTATAATGTATTCGTCATCAAAGTCTCCTCTACATCCAGGACATATTTTTGCCATACACTTTTCCTTTAAAACAAACACCCAATCTTTCTTGAAGGTGGACAATGTCCATGGTGTTCCCCTTCTAAACTTGTTTAGTAATAAAGTAATAAAAATACAGCATCCTTTCCACATAAAATACTTTTAGCAACATCAGTATTAAAAAAAAGTTTGCCTCCTCTCCTTGATATAATATTTTAGCACAGTTATTCTTAAGATATCTGAGAGGCTCTAGTTAGGCTAAGGGAGAGAAGTGAACATCTTTCTTGTTGGTTGTTCATCCATCCATTTCATTTCTTCAGCTTTAAAGATATATCATCTCTAAATGAAGATGAATATTGGCTCTGCTTCAAAATTGTCTGATGTTGGAGGCAACTTTTAGTGGTGACAATATAATCCATAACTGTCCTTCACACTACGATGAATAATACAGGGATTTGAATGTTCAAATGATTGCCTCTGCTTCAAAACTGTCTGGAGTGCTATATTGTTGATGATATAAGTTTCAGCTGACATGGCTCTGTGAGTGTAGTGATTCCTTTGTTGGTCTCCCAACTGGTCATCTGTCAGGATTTGTCTGTCTGGCCATACGCCTTGACATTACAACATGCAAATCTGATTTTAGTCTTTTCCTGGAAATAAAGGAAAATATACACATTATGTTCTTTTACTAATTTTTTTTGTTTTCCCTCAGGTTTGGGCTCAATAATCAGGACATCATATGTCTTCCTCCACACATGTCTTTTTGCTCTCCTTGACTACTCTTGCCTTCCTACATTCCCTCTCATGAATTTGGTTACTATATTTGGGTCAGTACAATTTGCCAAACAGAATGCACTAAGGAAAGTATTTGAAGCTATCTTTGTAATACATTCTAGTGTGTCCATTTTCCTTGATAAATTTAAAGCAATGTGGCCGAGAATGTCCATTTACATCTTCAAGGTGTGGCAAGATCCATCACATCATATATATTATCAATCTGTAACATAAAAATGTTTTTAAAGAAAAACCTTTTAGAGAGGCTTTTTTGGTACAACTAAAAAGTCATAGTATTTTCTATTTCTTGAATAATGTAAACTATTATAGAATATTATCTCATGCCTTATTCCTTAAATAATTTATAAATAGATGTGTGATTGAACCTCAAAGCAAAGATTTGTTTATTTACAATGTAATTCACAGGATATTTGTCACTTTTTAAATAACCTAGTATAGTGAAATAATCAATAATATCTTGGAGGAAATGGTGCAATAGGATTTTTTATTGAAATTCTGTTCTATATCATGCTTCTGAGTATTTTCTTGTCAAAGCATGTCTGTGTATGTTTTGTTTTGTTGTAGGCCTAAGTTTGTCAAAATGTTGATCTTGATTGATAATAAATGGTAATACTTTATGAAGTTGAAGACGAAGAACTGCTCAACATCCCTGGACCTCTTCATTGTGTGTAGGGAGTTCACCCACATGCACTTCTATCTATGGAAAAGAAAATATATACTGTATATTGTTGGCTAGACTAAATATATATCACTCCACCTAGAAATTAGAAAATATGATGGAATATTTGTGATTTTCTTGAGAAAGTTATTTCAAAAATAAAGGGTGGCATTTTTTGGGTCACCTTGTAATTACCAAACTGAAATTTTCACATAAATATCTAAGAACGAGTGCCAAAGGGAAAGGACTAAAAGTTGTAATGGAACTAATCCCCCTTTCCACCCATCATTCAAGAAACAATATCACAATCCAAGACCAGAACACCAAGGGACATTTCATTTATACTGAAGTCATGACAATACATGTTGAAGAAAAAATGCGTAAAATATGGAATGTATCAAGGAAGCCCTGCTCGCCAGAAAATGGCGTAACAACAATACATACATAATACAGAGTTTTCGCAAAAAAGTGAAGTACATGTATCAAAGGGTATTGTCTTAACTAAAATCAAACTTAAATCAATGTTTATAATCTGTACCCAATGAAGCATAATTATTCCTGATATAGATAAGCTCCTTCATCAACTAGGTACTGTCAATGCAATGTCCTTTGCTTGTGTACATTATCCGCATTATAAAATGCCAGCTGATATATCCTATTCTAAACAAAATAATAAATATGTTTAAAACTTTATTATATACAATATATACATATTATACAGGTACACATTCAAAATTTGTACGGCAGAATAAATCAGAATTAAGTCCATATTCACACCAACTGAACTCTGCACCAAGTGAGGGGTGGTCGCTTGTTTCTATCCTGCTGCATGCACATTCGGTACACTTCCTTGAGCTTGTCATTGACAATTCCCCTTGCCTTGGTGACCTCTCGTGGGAAATATCCCAAGGAATAAACATTGCTTGTGGTTGAGGTTGCAAGCTCGCCTTCCCGATAATACAGTAGTTGTCAGTCTTGATGTCGTTGTGCAGTAGTCCCATGTAATGAACATATTCCACCGAGTGAATGAGGCATAATATATGTGATATGAAGTTGATGGGGTGTTCTTCTTTAGATGCTAAGGCTGTTTTCATAGTTGTTGGTGATGGGAAGATGGCTGATGTTATGAGATGTGTTATGATCACAGGCCTATCCTTGTAAGGTCAAACCCATTGAGCTGCTGGATTCTGCGATTTTGCCCCAGGGTGATCAAAGAACGTAGTTCTTGATGAGCTGTGGCGAGTCCTCTCTTGAATTCCTTGAGAGCGTAAACACATGCAGCTGGATCCAGTGATGCAGATGACTTGTACACCGTCCCAAAGCTCCCCTCTCCCAGGATGGACTCCTTGTTGTAGTCCGCCGCTTTCACCTTGAACTGCGACGCCGCCATCCAGCTCGTCCTATTGTAGGTGGAACTTGCGTCTAGGAAGCGCCCCATGGCCTGGTAGGATTCGTTCCTCTCTATGCGCAGGCTTACATTCGTATATGTAAGGTGCTGAATGGAACTTTTTGTCGCTTGCTCTCCCGCTGCAGCTTTGCAATTTTGTCTTCTAAATATTTGACGTGTTCTGCTTTCGAGTCTTCTGTGACATCTGTGAGCCTTGGGTCCGTGTGTGTCGCCTCCTCCGGGTGCTGTGGTGTTGCTTCTTGACTACACTGCTGAGTAGGTGACGGAATCTTGAGCTTCATGTTAGTGATGAATCGCCTCGTATCCTTGCTGACTGATGAGTTGTTGCTGTTGGTTGTCTTCACGTGGGGTAGACGGATTTCAGCAACCTGCCGAAATTCACTGCGTTAAGTGTACCCACGACTTCTTCATTTGGGTATTTCTTGGAGACTGCATCTATGCACATCTCGTGAAGATCTTGTTTGAACAGCTTATTCGGCGGTTCCCCATGCTCTAGCTTTCCTAGTAGATATGTCTTGGTCTCCTCTCTGATGTTGACTTGCTGTTGTGTTCTGCGTGGCATAGCTGTGTTGGTGGGTTATAAAAACTGATTTGATTGTCCACACACGTCCCTTATATACTGGCCACTTGTTTGTGACATGTTTGTTTTTTCGTTGATCTTAATTCAAAGGATTATCATTGACGTCACAGTAAAAAAGGATCCAGAACTGAATGGATAAGATAATTAATTATACCAATGAATGTCATTTTGCTTTCTTTATTGATTTTGGATTGATAGGCTTCATCAAATCAATATTGGACAATTTCCAGAAATGTTACATACAAAACTTACTTCTTCAAGGATATTCAATATGCTACGGGGAAAATGGTTTTTAATTCAAGTAGATGATGGGGAATAAGTTTGTTATAGTAAATGCACAGAATTTTAGTCTACAACCTACCGCTGAGTAAGACACGCTTATACCGCCAATCCATCATTTACATTCCTAATATTAATACATGTAAAAATACAGGAGTTTCCTAAGTTAGCAGATATACTCTTAGGCAAATTATTATGGTCCAGTTATATCGCAAATATTTTAATAACAAATATGTTAACAAAAATATTAACCATGATTTATCAATTGGCATCAATACTCCAGTGGATGAACATCTTGTCAACTTATATGTTATAACTATTGTATGTAAGACAGTATTAATTGCACCATTGATCATGTTGATTATACAAAATCAGAATCAGATTCTGAGAAAGAATACACAAAAGAGGCCATCTTGTTCACTTTCTTGTCACGTTTCCTCCTCTTTTGGCTTGAAGAATTGGATGATGCTGGAAAAAAAGAACCAAATACTGACTTAAAATTTTAAGAATAAAATAATATATATATTTGAAAACATATTAAAGGTGCAACAAGGCCTGTAGAGATAAAATAGAAAATGTTTTATTTTTCTGAGCCAGAAAGCTTCAAAAAGAGGAAATACACATTATACACTCCCATATTGTGATGTCATATAGTTTGAAAAATAGAATCTGTGGACAGCGATCCACAATCATGATTTTTATCTCTGTCTTATAGAATCCATATATAGAGAACAAAAGTTTTCTGATTTTATACTGTAAATTACTTGTTGTAAGTTTCAATAATCCTAAAAGTGATTACAAAGATGAAGGTACTTACTTGAAAAGTTAGTTGCAGATGATTTTGTGCAATGTTGTGGTCATTAGCAATCCTCTTAGCTTCTTCAACTGTGAGGTTTTCATAGATCATGCAGTCAATTTTTCTGAAAAATTTACATATATTACAAAATGATACCCATAATGGTGTTTAAGCTGTGGCTTACAATGAAATAATTTTTCAAGAAAATTTAACCATTTCACCTACATCTGTTTAGACTTTACAGTGTTGTCCATGAAATGTTCACAATTTTGTCCTATCATTATTCCTTACTCCAAAATATGGGACACCTGATATATTCAGGATTTGATCATCCAATGACAATTATGTACATGAAACTGTTTACTTGCATCTTTCTTCTGTCCTCTAACTTTAGCAGTACATAACAGCATGAGCACTCATTTTTGACAATATTTATTCATTATTATCTTTAAGCTATCTTGACATACAAGGTGTGCTAAAAATCACCTCCTAGCCAGTAGTCCTGATAATTTTTTGCTTTTTATATGGTTTGAAATTGTTGTATTAACAGAGAATTATCTTTAGAATAATATATTATTAATTGTGTTTTTGATAAAAAGCAAAAACCTATCAGAACTATTGGCTAGGGGGGGGGGGGGCTGTTTTTTGGCCCTCCCTGTACATGTACTTTAAGATAAAAACTATACACTTACTTTAATCCCTTAAGACAATCATTTTCTGGCCACTCTTGTAGTAATTCCTGGCAAGCTGCCACAATGTGATTACCCCCCAGAGTGAAGAAGCAATCGTCCTTTTTCATTACAGAGATTGTGGTTATAACCTGGGGGACGTGAAGTAACCTTTCTTTTAACACCTACAATAAGCAATGAGTTTCTCTATGTGTAATAATAAACAAGAAGTACAGTAGGTTATTCATCAACTGCAATATATTGTTATTATACAAAATATATTTCAAGAAAATACAGACTCAATATTATGGGTAATACAGATAGTAAAGGGGAATACAAATGTTTTTAGGTATCAAATATAGTAAACAGTAAGACAAACATTAAATGTCACTTCAGAAAGTAAAGGGCAACATTCATTTCGAAGGGTAAGACCGCCCTGTCATCGAAGGATGGTAGTATCCGCAAATTAAATATAAAAAAATCACTTTATTATGTTTAAAATCGTAAAAATGGTTGCCATGCAATACTGGGCTTTTTCTTAAAAATAACGGACGGATGGACAGAGGCATCCCCCAATTCGTTCAATTGGATGCTTTGGATAATAATGCTGCAAAGTGTTTAAATGTAATTTCAGACCAACCTGAAAACTGAAATAGCTTTACTGCTGCGGAGTGCTGGTATTCCTGCAGTGCCACCCTCTGTTGTCTAATCTCCTCCTTTTCTGGAATGAAAAAGATTGGTTATTCAAGAATACAGGGTGTCCCGAAAGTATGGAGCCCCCTTAGGCAGACATACAACAATGTCCCCATAGTATGTATCATATATCATTTTAAAGCTTTCCAAAGTTACATTGATTTGCCAAGTATCATGCCTCAACCCACAAACGGGAAAAAGTTACATAGATTTCAAAATGTACTGTTTTACCAAAATTAAAGTTTAGTTTTACACAAAATTAATAGTCGCCGCGTCTCCCTTGGCCATGTTAACAGTAGCAATTCTTTCCAGATTTGACCTTAAATACACTGCAAATAGGGGTATGGCATTTAATAATCCTAATAAAACCTTTTTAAGGCATTTTAGAAGAGTTTCCTTGGAGTATCTTTTTACAACTCAATATCCATCCTCTTTTTGATGATACCACCCATATTTTTGGTCACATTCAGGTTAGCAGTGTTTCAAGGATACTGATTTTAACTTTTTGGCCAAGCACTAAGTTTTGAAATGCCTGTAACTCTTTCCCATTTGTAAATTGAACAATGATACTTGGCAAATCAATGTAACTTTGGATGAGTTTTAAAATGATATATGACACATACTATGGGGACATTGGTGTATGTCTGCCTAGGGGGGCCCTATACTTTCGGGACACCCTGTATAATTTTATTTCGGAAAATTAGCATTCTAGTCCCTCATCCATTCATCAATATCATACCATCGAGGGTACATTTATTTGTTTTTATGGTGGGGTCGAGTTGACTAAGGCTTGAGATGCCCAAGGGTCGAGATAACTTGGGGTCGACTTGACTTGGGTCGACTTGACTTGGGTCGACCTGACTAAGGGTTGAGTTGACTTGGGTTTAGTTGATTTGGGGTTGAGTTGACCAATTACCCCCACAAAGATGGGGGGGTTGGGGCTTATTATTTATGATAAAACATGTCACAATCTAAGACATACCCCTATTTGCAGTGTATTTAAGGTCAAATCTGGAAAGAATTGCTACTGTTAACATGGCCAAGGGAGACGCGGCGACTATTAATTTTGTGTAAAACTAAACTTTAATTTTGGTAAAACAGTACATTTTGAAATCTATGTAACTTTTTCCCGTTTGTGGGTTGAGGCATGATACTTGGCAAATCAATGTAACTTTGGAAAGCTTTAAAATGATAATGGTCTATAAAAGAATAATGTGTTAGAAAAATATTGACAAAGAAGATAATAAACAACATTAAATAACATTTTACCTTGTTACATGTGAAGCACTTCAAATGTCTTACAAGCTGCATTGGATTCACCCCAAGGTCAGCTAGCAAAACCAACAAAAACTCCTGAACGTCATGCTGTTGATTTTCCATGAACAGATCTTTGTACAGCTCCTTCAAACGAATGAATAATAGATCATTTCAATATCACTCCTTCACTCCTTACCACAACATTTGATTTTGGCTACTTCAGTGTATTGGCTATATAAAAACACTCCTTACCACAACATTTGATTGGTCTATGACCATGAAAAATTCTGTTCTATATCATGCTTCTGAGTATTTTCTTGTCAAAGCATGTCTGTGTATGTTTTGTTTTGTTGTAGGCCTAAGTTTGTCAAAATGTTGATCTTGATTGATAATAAATGGTAATACTTTATGAAGTTGAAGATGAAGAACTGCCATTGGAAATTTGAGGGGTAATACTAGGGGTGTTCTTGAAAGTACATGGGCTCCTTCAAAGATGAGGCTAATGCAAAATCAATGATCTTCCCATGTGTGTTGCTGATCAAGATGTAATTGTTCGTATTGACATCATTTTGGGTCATTCCTCTCATGTGAATTTCCTTGAGGGCTGATGTCAGACATTGGCACCGACACAGAAAATCATTGTGAGTGAGTTTATAATTGTCCTGCTGTCATAATACACGCTTAAGTGAAGAGCGCCTGCTCGTCTCCATGTGGATGAAGTCTGTCATTAGAGTTGTAGTTGCAGGGATCGCCACTAGTTGTTGAACGTTTCTGATGTCCCGCACGTGTAGTAGGCAAATTGTGATCGCGACATATTCCCTCACCTGTCGTTCCACAATAATTCCACATTTGTAATCAAATAAGAGCTTTACTATTTTTA